AGATAGGAACAAATTGATCAGACGTTTATGAAACACGCAAGAAATGTAATTCGAGCGACAGGTATAATACAATAGTCTAGACCTCGACTAAAACACATTTTCCTGATTTCATTAAATTGAAAATTTTTCCAAACTTACAAGCAAAAATTTTCTTTCATCTTTCTTATTAACTGTAACACGATTTTCCAGCCACGATGTATAATTTTGTTAAGCACTGTATGCTTTGCTTAACGGCGAAAGGATTATGAATTTCAGCCGCTTATGTAAGCACAAGAATGTGATTTCGCTTCTTCGGTAACTCTTTCTAGATCGCTTCGTCGATGTGTTCTCCTTCTCCTACGCTTATACATTTTCATCCTACTTTCTCTTATTTTCTTCTCGTTTCAAAACAATCATACGATTTACATAGTCCAAACATTTTCGTCCGACACCGCGGTATTTGTCCGTTTGATAAAAAGAAAAAAAGAATTCAACTGCATTCGAGGCATAGAAATGGTAAATTATAAGTGCTCGATAAGACCCGATTCTCGTTTCGATCAAGTATTATATATTCCACTATTTACTTCAGATTGTATACTACCGACATAAATTTTCGAAGCACCTTCATATTTTCATATAAAGTGACTACAGATTTATAGAATTTGATTGCATTTACTTTTTTGATTTAACTATGAAATATAATAAAATACAAGAAAAATGGTAACGTCCTGGATTCTTGTCCTTCCCCCCTGGGCGCACCTGGATGCGACCGTTTAAGCGGAAAAATTTGAATTCGTATTTCTCACTTATCTTATCTTGTTTCTAAACTTACTTTTAATATATCAATATCGTCAAAATTGAGATTCTGAAAATTCTTGCTTCTCCTATATCGTCATGCTCCTTAAGCCTGATTCAATCGCGAATGTAAAATCTCAACGAAATGGAATAATATTTGATGATAAAGAGAGCGGATTAGTCCTAAAGTAGAACGATACATGATACAGAAAAGAATACTGGCTTTCGAGTGAACCATTTCTAATGCAGCTCATGCATTTTGGAAAACTGGCTGTTTCAGTTCCGAGAAAAACCGGTTTCTCTCGTAATAGAAGAAGCCTGGAAACTTAGGCACGAGTATTCTGCGCGTCACCGAGGAATGCGAGGCCCTACCCCGAGGGAAAAGGTACAGAAAAAGTTGGGAAGGGCTGTTATAAAACATTTCTTCGAATTTCCAGAAGAATTTAGACGGTGAACTAGCACCAAGTAACATTTCCAGGATTTACGATATTATCTTGTATCTTCATTAACCAACACCTTTCAACGATGAAATCATTTTCCAAACAACTATTATGATTTACATATGGAAATTCAATCGATAACAGCTTCGTTATTACTTTCTTTATCGCTGCAATGCAGTTTCAATGTTGTGGCCATGAAAATATACTAACATTTAAAAGTTTATCATGCTCGAACCTTGCATAGCGGATGCAGTAATACGTAGAAGTACAAAGTGTAAAATACAGAAAATTAATTCACGAGAAAAGATATCAAATATGCAGACTTAAAGGTATATTTTAGATAAAAAAGAAATATTCTATGATGGTTGAATTTTCAATAGAACGATAACGAATGTGTTAAACAGTATGTTCAGTCTTGTTTAAAATAACTGAAATTCATTTGAGTAATGTCAATAATTACAGTGTGCTTTACTTATCTCATTAAGAACATTATGAAATAGCGATAGAAGCACATGCAAATTAGAGTTTAATGACTTAATTGCTAAACGAAACAGAAACGATGGATGGAAAGGTCTGCGCAATCCGTTAAACATACGAATAAATTAAATGGAAAGCAATTTTTAAAAGGAACTCGATAAAAACTAAATACCGATATTCCAATTATCACGCATTCATCGATCGATTAAACATTCCCCCGGCTGGTGGTTCAACGAATCTTTAATGTAATGGAAACTGATTGAACGGGCTTACATAACACCGTGGCGACAATAAATTAATCGGAACGACACGTTGAAAAAATACTAATAAAATCCGGAGATTAAAATTTCATTAAAATGAATAAACAAACTCTTCAGTAACATTTTAAATAGTTGATTATTAATTGCAGCAAACAATGCCAGATTTCAAAACGTGCCAAGTCTAACAATAAAACAATTTCGTGACAAAAAAGTACCATAAAATAGTACTTATAATATATTAATTTAAAGCTTAAGATTTCAGGAAAATAACTATATAAATGTTCCATCGGTACTCTTAATATAAACTGAGTAATTTTATACTGGAATCACCAATTTACAATCAATTATGTTCCTAAATAATAAAAGTATCGATGAAACGATTGTACAATTATTTTCTTTTAGATTAAAAGCTTTAAATTGATATATCATAAATGGTATTTTATGATAGTTTTATGTCATCAAATCAGGTCCAATTTCCTATGTTCCAAAATCCACTACATAATAGCTTAGTATTAATCAAGCGTTTAATTAATCCTTTTAGTACAGAGTATATTTCACCAGTGGCTGTATATGGTGATACAACACGTGTCAAATTCCTACAAAATTAACACGTCGAGTGTGTGTGGACTACCGGTAACCCCGAGTGTTTAATAAAATAGGAAAGAAGTATTTTTCGGTGGAACTTTGAAATGATACTCATGTATAGTGTAATCGAAATGACTTATAATTAATGTAAGCATGAAATCTCGCTCGACCCGAAACGCGTTCAGGTTTCGCCGACTTTGATTTCCTCTGTAAAGGTCTCCAAACATTACATTCGAACAGCCTTGTTAGTAAACCCAGGCAGCTGAATTTCAAAGTTCGAGGAACATCTCGAAAAACATATAAATACACATTGACTTAACGGGTGAACGCACCGAACATGTAACCATGTCCACATCGTTCATACTGTGTCATTTATTGGACGCGTAAACACGTTTATAACACTTTAAGGGTTAATTGTAACAACGATATGGGAAATGAAATGGAAGAATACAATACCACTATTATATTCAGATGATCAAGAACAATTTGACAATTAAGAAGAACATACCAGTGGGATCTGATAAGAAGAAAACAAACTGCAATTTCCTGAATCGAAATTGAAAACGATTGAAATTAAATTAAATTTTAGTTTCAAATTTAAATTGTTCATTTACCATCTTACAAAATTAATGTAATATCGATTCCAATTGAACTCTGATCGTACAGAAATTGAAGTTATTCAAGGCTTAGAGATTCTTCCCTTACTCCCTTTCATTTCAATCCTTCACCTAATCTTTTTTAACAAGCTACCGTACACTGTTGGGAATCTCGTTGCCGGAGAAATCAATTCCGACCTTTGTCGACGAATGCGCATTATTTCATTGGAGAATGAATCATCGACGCGAGTGGAAGACACTCGACAGTTTGTAGGTATAAAATCAGTTTCACCAAAACCCTCTTGATCTCGATGGATCTTTATTGCCGCTTCTCTTCAACCCGTTTATACTGAAATCCGATTTACTTCCGAGCAGTATGCATAAACGCGGAGTCCGAGCGCACAACAGGTCGATTAATCCCCGAACCACGGATGCCGGGTCACTTAAGACCCGGTCTTGAATCTTTCTTATATCGAGTTCCAGGCGGTGTGAATATTTATTTAATAAACCTTCCAGTTTTTTAAACAAATCAATTTACAAGTGTATGAATGTTTACGAAAAAAAAATTGTATTAACGTTTTAAATTTCGGGGGTCATTGATCACCGGCACTGCACATTAGATATATTCGAATAATTAAGAGAATATAATAGAGAAACTTGAAAATATAAAATTTCAATTTTTCCTGCTGCAGGGCAGGGAAATTCTTTTTAATCAAATCCCTGTTCACGCGTGTTTAATCTTTAGATTAAAACAAGTTATTTACTTGTACTTTTATCCTCTTACGGATCGTTTTATTAGGCACGGATAAGCTATTTGTAAAATAACTTTCCCAGAAATGATCTGCCGCATTTCGAGGATTTTTACTGCTGTGCGACGTGCAATTGTATTTGACATGCATGCAATAAGAGAATAAAATTTCTCTGTATAATTAAAAAGAGAAAATACCAATCAGAAACGCTTGAAAAATTCATCAGATAAATTGTGATAACTAAAAGAAGGTTTTTGTAATGAATTTATTAGGGCCACTCTCCTCTGTTCTTAACCAAATAATTCCTAGGGTGAACTATTAAATTGAACGAATTTTATTTCGACAGTGTGCGTCGTGTATAATATAATTAAAAAATAATCTGTCTGATATTAATTAAACTTGGAGTAATTAGATTGACGAAATCACGGGATCACCTGAAATTTTGTATTATCGCGTCAAAGTGTATAATTAACAGCTACGCTTTTGAGTAATTATCTGCTGTCACCGACAGGCGGTAAACGTCACGTACTCTCGAATTACTCGAACGACGTCTAATTAACCTCTTCTCGCAACACGACGGACTTATCCGTTGGTATGTATAAGCAACTTAGCGATATATACATAGCTTTTAAAACAACAAAAGCATCAGTTTTATGAATCAGTTGCAGATAGAACGGTTAACAGTAGGAGATCGTTTTACAAAACAATACTTGTAACCGTTTATGAAAATAATAAATAAGAATTTGTAGAGTGAAATTTTATTTTTGAACGTGTCAAACTCTGGCGCTCGTAAATTACATTTAAATTGTTTAATATTATTATAGTTTTAAAAAAAAATTCAAATTAAAGTCTATTACTCGTTTGAGAAACATAATTTTGTTATTGACACACGAAATGTCAGAAGGACAATAAACAGAACCACTCCTACCTAACGAGCCTGAAATAAGTCACGTTTCCCATAATAATCGTCTACCGTACAAGATTATTCTAGAACCTTTGAAATTCTCGCTTCCTTAATGTAAGTTATTTTTACAAACTTTTCATTACACATCGGTTTCTTTCTTTGTTTACGACTGGTTCTTCGTAGTTAAAAGAAAAATAAATTGTATATAAACTCACCGTAAATACGAGGATAATCCGTACGTAGTCGAACGGAAGAACGCTGCTTTTCGATCAAACAATCCTCTAGTATTCAAGCGTACACTGTGTATTTGTAGCACAACATGTCACATTAAAGCGAACCGAAGAGTAAAAGTAAAGGCGAGTAGAAAAAGATATCTTATGTAGTTGATTGAACAGAGATCGTGTCTTCTAGTCACTTATATGTCTTTATTTGGCTGCTACGTGTCACTGTGGACGTTGTTTTAACACACACGTGAAGATCGGTTTATAACGCGTCCGCACAATGATCACCGTCGGTTATTATGCGTCTACCCTTTGGAGAGCGGTCGTTGGAGGTTAGGTCGCCGGTTCGTCGAATATTACTCGCACACGCACGCACAGGACTGCCAATTAAAAATCCAACTTGTGTATGCCGCTTTCGGTGACTTGCTTCAATCCACGAAGAGGGCTTGCGGAACACGAAAATGAAAAGCACACACGCGAGAAGGGCGCCTCTTCGGTATTCCAGTCAACTTCGGTTTGTAACGTATTCTTGCACGACACAACGCGAAACGGAACGATGTGTATCGTGTACAAACCGAGCCTCTTTCGATGGAAAAATTTGATATATGACAGTCGACTATCGTATTCTTTGACGAACGAAACTCCGTGAAACAAGGACAATAATACTGGTCAATTTGCCTCTTCTTTTTTCCTTTGTTTTATGTTTTTCTTTTTTTTTTCTTTTATTCGCCGGCGAGCCGGTTCACAGACGTACGCTTCCTTTTCGCTCTTTTGACGTACTCTTTCCCTTTCTGTTCCTTCCGTTCTTTGTTCCTCACAGCTCGGCCGCTGCTACGTGACTGACCGCTTCGTAAACGCTTGTGCCGCACGAGGCGCGCCGAAGGCGAACGAAGGGGAACCGACGGTTCGTCGATCGGAAACGACCCTCGGTTGAGGGAGCCTTCCTTTGTTCAGGCGAGACTGTGCGGCATGGCTTGTAACGTGTTCTCTCTTTCTCTCTCTTTCTCTTTTTCACGTTCTTTTCCTTTTTCTCCACTTTTATTTCAATCTCTCTTTCTCTCCCGCACATTCATACACACACTGCCTAGTTCCCTTTTTTTCTCTTTCTTTCTCGCTCGCTTCACAAAGTCTCCGATGCGAACGATCGCACGGTCTGTTGGTAACTGAGATAGAGACGACGGTGGAAAGTGAATTCACACACGGTATCCTGACGTCGGTGACGATGGCTGCGGTGGTGGGTGATGGCGACGGCGTCGGCGGCGTCGGCGGCGTCCCTCCTCGTCGCAACGAACCTTGGTGGGGGGGATATACAAACGTAACCACCACCACTGGTTACTATTCCCCTCGTGTCGCCCTTCGGGATGCCATCCGGCATCCTCTGCACCCTGCCGATACTTTTCCCTCGCGCGTCACCCTACCCGTCCAATGGCGGCTCGTTCTCGTAATGAATGCGTGAATCCGAAGAAATTGGTTGAAAGTTAGTCATTCGACTTGAATGCAATTGGATGCTTTTTATAAGACTCTAAATGTTATCGAGTGGAACAGTAGAATGCGAACCTTTCTTTTTTGTAAAGGGTTAAATATTAGACGTTTTTTGGGGCTTTGCGGGTCAAAGGATGAAATCCTTTATTTAAATATTCTTTTGAGAAGAATGTCTCCAAAATTGTTATTCGTATGAAGGATTTAGAAGATTGAAAAAATTGTATATCAAAAGTAATAAGTCCGCTCTAACGAGCAGACACTTTTCTGGCTAACATTTTAAATGTATGCTTTTTAATTTCATTGAGAGTATAACACCGTCTCTTCTCCTTAATTGCTTCGTATACAAATTACATGAACGCATTCGTTAAAGCGACTAAGATAAATGAACATGAAACTGTCCGTATGCATTTGAAAGTAATAATTATGTCGAAAGACGAAAAAAAAACGCTTTTTTTTAAATTCTTATATCTACTATTCTTTCCCGAGGGCATTGATAACGATCTATGATCAAATCGACTAAAAATATAGCCTCCTATACTTTCGTAAACCTAATTTATTTACAAGGAAAGAGTACTCTAATGGCATTTTGTATAATTTCAATGATTAATTAAACGGAAACTTTCATACAAATGCAAATTAATATATCCAAATTAATGGTGAACTTATACATGATTTTGTAAAATTGGATATTTTAAGCATCTTTTTTCCTCTAAGCTATATGTATGTCGGACTTGTCTTCCTACCACGCACATATTCCTATAGACCTAAGTTTCATGTATTGAATTTTAAATATTTTTCCCATCGCATGTATAAGTAGGTATCTACAAAGATATTCTATTCTACTTTACGAAGGGTAGTTAACTAACAACTTATTTTCTTGAAAAAATCGCCATTAAGTTTATACCACTTTGCACCACTCTACTTTCACCTGTTTTCAATATTTCAAAACTCTATACTACCTTACTTCAGTACATCACAATTTTCCATGTACTATACGAATAATATAGGGTGTCTAAAAAATTCAGAGAAAAAGTACACAAATATAAAGTTAAGTTAAAAAGATGTGCCATTAAACAAAATAGATTAAGAATTGAAGACATCCAGAATAACAAGTGTTTCTATTAGCTCCGTTTTAAGGTATTACATTCCTTCCGAAGTTTGACCCAAACTTTTATGGACACCCGGGGCATTCGAAGAAGAATTATTAACGTTTTCTTCGACACTACTCGTCGACGATACGATGAAAAGGTTTACGAAAATTTTAAGGCTGCCAAAGGAAATACGACGGTCCTGAACCACAACCGACCCAACAAGGAGCACCTGCTCCCAGACCAAGAGACGTTACATGCAACCAACGTACCCTGTGTATTTTCTCTGGTCGGTTACGTTCCGTTTCGTTCCGGCCAACCGAATACAAAGGCCAGAGGTTCTCAATTATCAGTCGATTGAAAAATATCAAGAAGTCGAATCATAAAACGGATATGAATGTATTCCCTACCACGAATAACTAGGAGAAATTGGGAAATTTTAGCTATTTTCAGATGTTTCAGGGTAGTTTACCCCTTTAATCCTCAGGTGGGCAATCGGGTACATACCTAAGCACCCATTTCCTTTTCATAATACTTTATGTTTTTAGGAGAACATCGTAAAACCGCACTAAACCCCCATTTTAAATGTTACAATGTACTCGGGTGTGCCTATACTTTCTTCACTCACTGTACTCATATCATATATCTAGATTTATATCATGCAAAGATACATTCATATATTACTCGCATTCAATAAAATTTACATTAGCGATAATTTTAAACTGTAAAAAATGTATGAAACGGTGATCCAGGCGTTTTTAGTACGGACATATGTTCCCGGCCATTTATTGACATTCCCCGATAAGAAAAGTGAATGACGCAAGTACCCGTTATCGAAAAACTATAAAGCACACCAGGACTGTTTTCCAAAATGTAATTATTTATTTCGCGATTGAAATATTTCCAAATTTCCATGAAACATTAATCGCTATAATTTTAAATATTTTCGGAATTTCTCAACGTTGAAACTAGTATACGGCAATATCATTTGTCGTATCAACTAAGGCCCTAATTTTGGAATTTGACTTTCACGGTACAATCAACTTAATATTCATAGCTACAGCTTATCGAAATCGTCGATCGCGCGACTCATTGATCCATCAAAGATTCTCTCTTCCGCTCGGTACCTTGATCCACGATACACTCCAGTCATCCCTTTGGTGGGCTTTCTGATCGATCGGGACGTCTGGAGGCGAGCAATCGTGTCGGCGTGTGCCACGCCGGAAAACAGCTGACTTGTACTTTTTCGTTAGAGAAGCAGCTGGCCTCCCGGCCCGTGGGCCAAGAGCCGTCTGCGTTCCTTATACCGGGTGCTCCTCTAGTTGTCAGTGGAACTAATCGATATTTATCGATATACCGATTGATAAATATTTCAGATACGGCTGTACAATGTGTATTTTCGTATTAAAGGTATTCTGATCTCGTAGAGTTAACGAAGTGAAGATTTTGCCCGTAATTTAAATTCTATTGAATTATTAGACAAGTAACGTGATATAACACCGTAGGAGGGTGGACGTACCGTTATTCAAATGCAACTAGAAACCTACCCACTCAATTTGAACGTTCAAGTTACCTATTATTCCCATAGCGAAAAGTTGAAAACTTTGTGTGCATAGAAAGGAAAGAGGGAAGCAATAAAAGTACCGTTTGGCTTGCCGGTAATTACAGAAGTTTCACACTTCCAATCCTTACTTCTGTGCACGGAAACCTTTTACTTATTCTCCTGGAGGTCTGTTTAAGTGCGAAGAGAAGACATCGATAGGGAATTCGCTATTACATGATCGACTTCACGCGCGTTAAGCCGAACGAGAAAGTATAATTTCGACCTGAATTAATATAAAGAAGTAAACGGTTGCAATTGCATGCATAACGTATCATAAAAATGAATAATAAATTACAGGTTTTCTCGTAATTTCGTTTTACTACTATTTCTTCGTTTACCAACTTTCATTTTTCTGTATTCACGAATACATTTGATATTAAGGGTATACAAAAGTCCTTTTATATATTTTTTTTAATTTAAAAGTGGGAAAATATTTCAATTCATTTTGTTATGCAAAAATTTAATTAAAAGTACACCTGCAAAGTTAATTTCCTTAAGAACAAAGTTTTCTGCACAGCAGATTAATTTTATATTGTAAATGAGAAAAAGATTTTCGTTACATTTACACAGTGCATTGGAGTTAGAAATAAAAATTTCAGTTTCATTTTCGACTCATCGTACATCAATAAATCAAGACCTTCTAAAACAGTTTTATACGTCAATTTCGTTTATGACTATGGTTGTAACATCGGTATAACTGTATATCGATACCTTAGGTTTTGGAAATCCCTAATGGGACAACTTTGACCATGCAAGATTTATAGTCATCCGCAGGTAATGAATGTTACGATTCGTTGCGATTTTACCGGGTAATAAAAATCAGGCAATAAACTTATCCATTGATCATGCCCACTTATAAACTACCCTCTCATTCTTGGCAAAAACTTCCAAAAATTTAATAGCACAAATAGCAAAAATTAAAACTGATTTTGTATATTTTTTATACATATCTATATACTGAAATTTAATACTTTCTGTATTGCATGAAATTTAAACGGCTGCGTTCCTCTCTCTGATAAAAAATTCAAAAAAGTAAAACAGAAGTGGAGTGGAATTACGATACAGGCGAAAAGGGATGAAAAAGAATTAAACAAGGGATATTCTGCTGAAACGAAAAAATTACAACGGCAAAGAAATAAAATTAAATACAAAGTATAATTTTTAGCTTATAAAAACTTGCAAAGCTGTGGTGTTTATTTGTCAGTATTATCGTAATCTTCCGAGCTATCAGAATTATTTTATTTACTTAGTTCTTGAAGGACAGAGGTAAAGATAATAAAAACCTTGCAGGGACCACTGTAAATAAGGACCTTCAAAAAGGCATCAAAGAACGTTGGAAAGGGATTTTCTTTTCTTTTTACTGGGTTTAAGGGACTCGGCATTTACCGAGGATCAAGGGGAAGTAAGTAGGCGGAATATGCACAACGGAGAAAAAGAAATTACTGTCTTGTTTAGTTGCAAATCATTGGCTGTAGGAACTAAGAGCAGGGGGATAATGATACATCAAAACGTGAATGACGTTAACGTGCGTGGGTGTTAGAAAAATATATGCAGTAAGAAACAATTATGGCACTTAGTCGTGTGCAATGTAATTATAGTTGAATATACAGGGTCAGACCGAACAACACATGAAAGAGGACACCGTCTGATTTTTTATGAAAAAATGAGAAAAAAATATAGAATAAAATTTTTTGATTTACGGCTTAGTTTCCGAGGAAATTAAATTTGAAAATCCGCTGTATTGTTACGACATGCTAATGCAACACCTGACGCTCAATTTCCTCAAACTGTTTTATACAAAACCATTTTGATTTAACACCTCCCCCAAAAATTAGAAAAGTTCATTTTATACATCACACAAATTAGAACAGAATTGGGCATTATTGTAATATTCTTCTCATAGCAAATCTTATTTTGGATTCGCTCTTCTTTGCAGAGTACTTTAATCAATTGCAATTTCACTGATCGGATGACCGTTCCGTATGGACGGTTAGATAGGTATATAAGCTTATTTCCCAGCTGTCAAGGCTGTTATGCTTGCAAAGAAGAGGCACAAGAAAAAGAGATAAAAAGGAAGTGGGACTACCGGTAGTGAGAGTGAGAGTGGCCGTGTCGCTTTGACGATTTTTCTGATGGTGAAAACAAGCCAAGGTTATAACGCTTTACTGCTCTGTCATTCGTTCACGATTTCTTGTGCAACTGCCATTGGACAGATTTTACGTAATTTCGAAAAACAAACTAATTTAACTAACCATATTATTATACCATTCCAGTTTCTTGTATCGTTTCAAATGCACCATGAGACATACGGTGTCAAATAAAAATCTGATTCTAAATGGATTAATACCTTGCTGTTTTTAATATAAATAATATTTATAAAATTCTTCAATTTAGAAGAACGAACTGGGAGATACAGTTTCGGAGAATCGAACGTTTTTGCCTTCGGACATGCACACGAGGTCAAAAGCTGACAAGAATAACGAGAGCAACGTTTATCGCCCCAATCCGTCACCTCTCGCGCACATGCTGAAGAAATTAAAATTTTTTGCCCATTTCCTCGAACGAACTACCAGTCACCATCCGCTGCAGTGGGAGCCCGACAAAAAGAGAGCAAAAAAATTCGAAAACGAGAAGACGTTCGACGCCAGATACGTTGGACGCGCGATGATCCTCTCAAAAATTCTTTAACGAAAATTCTACTCACCGGAATCGCTGTATCCGACCACCATTTCTCTTTATTACCGGAAATTGGAATGACGGCACATGCAGTGTATACGTACCTGCAAGCAAACAGGAAATATGTTAAAGTTTGGAAATTCAAGTTATGTCTCGTACAGACTATCATAGACATAAATGTACTCATAAAAACGAAGTTTCATCGTTATATAAATATATAGGTATGTAATGTCTAAACTATGAAATGGTTGCACAAGCGAATCTAACTTCATAAATTCGTTTCGCTTTTAAATAATTTCAGACCAATGCGACAGAAACGCGTTACACATTTCACGAACATAAAGCACGAAACAATAAACCGCGGTTTTCCCGGAGAATTGCAATTGACGTATTTCCGGGCCGAAAACAATCGCCCAATCACGCCTTAACCGTCGATGCACTTCCGCTCTTCAATTACTCGATCAGCGGGCTTTAACAAGAGATGCGAGCACCAGATTGTTTCGAAAATGGCGAAATTTACATTACGTCAAATGGACCTATTTAAATCTACTTTTTTTTTCGCGGTCTAAAATCACATTTTAAAGAATCACGAAAGAAATGCATGAACTTGCCGGAAGTCTTTAACTTATGAATTACAAATTAATTGAAATTCACGTTATTGTACATTATTACCCTAGGTTTTTATCATAGGGAAGAATTTATTTCTTACCTCATGTGCGTTGCAACAATTGCCAAACTCGCATTTGATGTGTTTGAAGGTTAGGTTTTTGCCGGTTCGTATATACAAGCGAATATTTCTTTCAGTTCACGTTTTACTAATTTACTATGTCACAAATTGTTCACTGAACTCACTAGACAAACCGATAGTGGTGTTGTATACAAGTAATATTCACTTTAATTATAAAAATATGTAAATACAAGAGTTTAATTCGTACTACGTACCACTCAATGTTACAAGCTCTCGTGCCAGACTCGTGTAACTTCGTCGCTTCTCGGGCACGATCGTACCTTCGCGAACACACACATTACACACACAGTGAATCATAAGTTGTAGCGGCAGACAGGTATGTATCTCTTTGAGACTGTGAATTTGTTATTATAATAGGTTATAAGAAGTGATATTAACGTTACGATATTATATAATTTTATGCAAAATGTTAGATAATATTAATCCGTCGTGTATTATGGGTCGGGTCGTTCCACTTTAATCAAACCTTTCAAGGACTCTTTGTCAAGATTGCAACGATTTAACGGTTGGTCGAACGCCATGATTTTTGTACTTTCTACAAATAACTCGTAAATAGTAAATAAGCAAATATTTACTTACGTTTTCATGTGCCGTTGAAATTAGTAATCTATTAAAATCGCGTCCTAATTTTAATGTCCTATACACTGTTAATTATTTTTAAAACAACAAAATACCATACAAACAAGTTAACCTATAACTTTACAAGATTGACGAACAATTATATATATGATGTATGGAAATAGGATGTATATATTTATGTATCGGCTCCAAAAACGAAGGCGTTTCAAACATTTCAGGGTCATCTCCACTCTTCAAAATAAAAATACGTGAGTCAATTTTTCCAAATATCCTACATATAAACAAGAAAAAGTGAAACGAGATTTTGGAGTAAAAGAATTTTTGATCAACGTTAGTATAATACACGGGACAAACGGGTTTTACTTTCATACTCAGCGAGAGTAAGGGTAATCCTGCAACTTTCATTTGCACTCGTTCGGCCTCGTGATGTCATAAATATAACTCTTGTATCGTAATCCGAATCAGTGTTCTCGTGGTGAAAGGTTTCGATCAAGAAAAGAGGTTAGTACCACGAGATACGAAAGTGAACTCCTATAGATACGACGAAAGATAATATAGCGTTTCAATCGAGACCTTAATTGATCATATAAAAGGTGTTCACGCGGATATTACTGTAATGATAAACACCTTTTTTCTGTTTTAGTGTGATTCTGAAAGTAACTGTGGGATAGCTGTGGCCGCCATTGGTGCAACCACGTAGGAACCAAGATGGATCCGGTGACCCAAAATGTTGACTACCTCCTACACAACAAGAATTATTGTACCAAGTAAGTGAATTTAGGAAATTTTATCTTAATAGAAATATGGAGATATTTGAAGATGAAGAAATAAATATTTCTTCTCATAATATGAAAACTATTTGGAGTTTAGAAACAATTAGTACTATAATAGTGAATAATTTCTGTAGAAAGTCGCTTATAAGGAAGCCATAATAATAGCATTTCGTAGCTGAAGTGTTAAAGCATTTATGAATTGAACATAAATCACGTTTTAGTCATCAGTCGTTCGGGTATCAATGTTAAAAACTTACGGAAGCAGGTTACAACGGTGTAACCTGTATTCTGGTTTAATAATTTCCTTGATGGAGGTATATTAGTATATCGTCTAATGCATCGGCTACGTAAGAAGCCGGAAGTTGTTTAGTAGATACGTAAAATTTCTATCCCCGGAAATGACAGAAGTGAAACGACTGGGATCGGGGAAGTAGATATTTCAATGTTCACTCTAATTCAGTCTTCAACCAACGTAACTCTAATTTTTTTATTTTAAAATGTAGTTGTAGGAATGTGAATTAAATTGAACTTAAGATGTTCATTAATTAACTTTTTTACACTTTTTGCTAAAATATAATTTATATAATATTTATAACATATTTATCATAACTAACAAACTGAAAATAATAAATTTCAAGCATTAATTATTTATTAAGCTGAAATCATCTTCCAAGATAGTGTTATTAATTCAGTGTACCTAAGTCTAGTTTGCATAGAAGAAATTTGGTTAATTCAAACACGTTTAAAATATGACCAGAAATTTTCTTTCAATTTGCAAACTGCTGCTCGAGTTCAGTACGAATGCTCAAAGTGTATATAGGTACATATCTAGATAGATAGATAGATAGATAGATAGATAGAAGCAACCGGTGGTTGTAAAGGAGGTCACGAGCTGACACTCTAGTCCTTTTAACCCTTTGAGTATGATGGAATTTATGATCCAAGGTCGTTATACAATCTTTGCAACGTCATACCGGAATTTCTACCACTTGGTGTAATAAGAAACTAACGAAAATCGCCTGAAATACATTTGATTCATTAAAATATCTTCGCGTCGATAAGTTTTGGAATGAAATCCATTTTGTACCACCTCTTTGTATTATTAAAGCAAGTGAACGTTAGTTGAGAGACTAATTACATTTAATGGTCAAATGAATTATCAAATAAAAATATTTTTACAAAAAAGAACGAAATTTTTGTAAGAATGAAAACAATTAAAGTTTATAAAAATGTATCAACTATGAGAATGTTGTACATTTAGGTGCAAAGACTAATATATCAGCAGAGTATCTGGGCCAAGTAAAACTGGTTATGGAAAAGCCTTGCCCCAACGTGGCTGCTTTTCTTTTGGAAGTTAACCAAACTGGTTTTGACCTTGTCAGGGATTTACCCTTGGTGCAGATCTGCGATCTAACGTTAATTTCTGATCACATTTTTTACACTATAGAAATTATCCAGGTTTCAATTTATAACCATATCTCAGATCGAGCTCAAAGACAAAAATTCATCAAATATTTTTTATTAAACAAAATTTATGGTTGATGCAATACATACTGGCGAAAAGTATTTTGAGCTAATGATATTAATTATCATTAATTTAAAATTCAATAATATCTTATCTACATTGGTGTAACTTAGATAGGGTGCCCTTCTCCCTCCATAGATATTAATCGTGTAATGAAATGGAGGAATTTACTAAAAATGGGATCGATCAGTTTGGTTCCTCGATATTAAAAAATGAAACCATCATAATGTCTGGGAATTCAGGGGTAAAAGAAGATGACCGCGGAGGTCCCGGTTCGTGGAAGACCCGCACCGCTGCAGTAGAAGAGTAGCAAGTAATCCGTTTCTTCCCATTCCCCATCTTCAACTCATCTTCATCTCTTTCTCATCCTTGTCTTTCATCTTTCTTTTCGCCATTCTTCTTCTGTTTCCTCTCGCGAATATTCTTCTTCAGCAGGCATCCTCATCGCACTAACCCGTAGGTTCATGTTTCTTCTTTCTTTTCCTTCCTTTTATCCCATTTCCTTTCTTTCTCGTTTCCCGGTGATCTCTTTTCTCGTTTCGTTTCATTTCCTTTTCTTCGCGTTTGTTCCCTATCTCTCTTCGGATGTGTATTTCTTTACGTCCGTGATCTCCTACGGTCACCGCGTCCCTCCGATTCCCTTTCGTTTCTTTTCACTCTTCTCTGGGTATTATTCTTTCTTTCTTTCTCCCGACCTTCTCTTTCGTGCTTTTTGCTAGTCGTCCATATACTGACTCTGCTCGTTCTTCGAAAGGGATTAGGGTATAAAATGGCGAAAATTATAAAATCCCTCAATAATACAGAAATATATCTATCGATTCATTAAAGTGTTAACGTTCATTTTGAAGGGATTTTCGTCCCCTCGTAGGATCTGAAAGTACAAATTTTTCTAGCGATAATCATCACAATAGTAATTTATTAGTTCGATTCTTCTGTGGAATGTTACAAAAAGTTCCATCGACACCCCATGGCGGTGAATCGCGAGATCGTGAGATCAGGCTTCCCCGTTCCTACTTGCACCATAGAGGCTGTAGTTTGTCACAAAGTAGAAGGTAACGATTCGAGGAAGGTTCCTCGAGGTTTTTCGAGGCAGTAGCCGGTCCGGACCCCCCTTGATTGGAAAAGAACACCAGAACACCGCTAACGGTGGGCCTTGAAGCCCCTCCTGATCGCTATTGAGCTCCCGCCATGGACAATAGAAGACCGTTAGACGTGCCATGGGTTAAGGCTAGAGGCTCGAACGAACCATGGGAATCCCTGAACCTGAGGGTAGACGCGAAGAACCACGACCCAGGCCGATGGTCCTCTGTGCAAGAAAGAACTGGTTTACCTTCTTCTTTCCTCTTCTTTTCTCTTCTCGCTTCGTCACCTACGATTAAACGTGTAACAGCAAAAAAAAAATAGGGAAGGTTTCTTGGTTGATAAAAATTGCAGTTTGATTTTGTACCTATACGATGGATAGTGCAGTTTATTGGCCCTATGTTTAATTTATTTCGACATAATTGCGCCGGTTTATCAATTATTCGGAATATTTAATTAATCGTGAAAATTATTCACTATAATATAATTTTTATATATACAAATTGATCAATTTTACTCTTACGCGCGAGTGAAAATGTCCGTGCATTCACCCTGTCGAGGATTAATGAAAACTTGAATGAAGAGCAGACGAATTTCGAGGTCATTTCCAGAGCGTCAGCTGTAAGCCGCGTTCAACCACGCGTGTACGTATTTTCCGGTTTTATCTTTCTCTGTTCTTCGTTCAACCACCTTTGATCCTTAGTTTCGTCAATGGAACAGACATCGACCATCAGGTTGAAATATCTGGGTTTCGGATTTCCGTGTAATACAAGCTTCTCTCTGAAGTAGCCAACTAGTATAACGAATGGCATATTCATTTTATTGCACTTTCATAACACCCTGTATGGTATTTACACAAATTTATTGTCGCATGTACCGTTCATCGAAGAACTATAATCGTCTGTAGTAGCGAAGGGGTTGATAAAAATTTGAACAGTGCAAGGGTGGTAAAGGAGGTAGCATGGTAACAGGGGGAACAGAAGCGACGGGTCATCGACGGTGAAACAAAAGCTCAGAATCGTCTGGAATTTTGGCACGACGCTAGAGGAATTTCGATTCGAGGTTATCTTTGCTCCGAGTCTGTTTGGTGGACGCGTGTATGTAGTTGTATACGTGTCCGGGGTCTCGGTGTTCTCTTCTATGCGGACGACGTGGCTGGTATTCCGAGCTAGACGTTTTGCGGTTGTAGTTTGCCGGTGCAATTGCCACGATCCTACAAGTGGTTGACCCTGGCCGCGACAGTCTGCCAACCGACTGTCGAGGTCCGCGCCAACAGCGAACCGTGTTTCGAAGGCTTCTTCGAGATTCTTCCCTTCGCTTCGTTTCCGTTTCGAACAGGTGTACGTGCCACGGACAAACCGTCCAACAGTCTATGGGATATCCAAACAATTAACCGTTCCATTGCCATTTTTAATATCACACGACGCTGACATTTCCATTTTACCACCGGTTATTCCCTTTTATTCTCACCTTATGCCGTTTTCACCTGTTTCAACTGGAATGCCCATAAAAATTGGCCATTTCCTTCGGCCAACTACGCTCTTTGTCTGGCTCGAAACGTTTTTTTTTTTTTTTTTTTTTTACCGAAGCAGTTTTCTCCGAAGGTTGTCAAGGCTTTTATAAAACGAAGGATGGAATTTTGAGGAAATTGAACGAGTTATATAGAGCGTTCCATAATTGGTGGTAGAGTTGAAGATATAAAACGAATTATGTTATTCTTTAAATTAATTTCGAGAAACGCCTGTATTGAAGTTTGGGATCTTTCGGGAAGACGTGTTTTGTCATCTTTGACACGTATTACCAGTAAATCCTTAAGCCTTTTCGAGAGCCACAATCTTCTTGGAAAGGAAATTCTTATCGTGGGCTAAATCCTTGGCCAGGTCCGAGAGCCGAATGGAACGGTACCGTTTCGTTTTCGTAGCTCGACGAGGGTGGCCGATTGTTTAGACTGGAATCTCAAGGGGCGTGGACGGCATTCCGGCTGGTGGTTCGGGTAATTCGAACGTGTCCAGGACGACAACGTTGTGTTTCAGCGGGTATGCTAGACGACGGTGTTTCGAACCGCCATGCAAACAGAATAAATCAAACTCTTTCGGATGTATCGACAAAGAAATCTGTCTGGATTAATCATAAATCGCTGTGAAACCTTGGCATAGTTTCTTCTAATGCGGATTTATTTCTGAAGGTTACTATCATCGTCGCGAGATAATCGAGGAATAATAAGTGTCAGACGTAACAATTCTTTTCTTCGAAATAAGTCTATAAATTTTCAAATTTATAAATTCTTCTTTCAGAAATAATTTCAATCCTGAAAGTAACAATAACTCCATTGCAGTTATTAAATTAACATTCGATCCCTCGAAATTTGTAAAATTCAAACATTAATGTT